AGGGGCAGTGGCCGGCCTGCTCCCTGCTCCCCCGAGGAGCTGAGCAGAGACCCACCCCGAGGAGCTCACACAGCCCGGCCTCCTGGGGCAGAGGCCTGCCCTTCCTGAGCTGGAGATCAGCTGTCCTGGTTCACCTCAGCGTGAGTAGGTGGTGAGTTACCAGAGAAGGAAAGGCACGAGGAGAAATGGAGACCAGATGGCTGCTACCGGCAGGACTCTGGAATTGGACATGTCAGTAGGTTTATGACTTTCAGAACTTTTTTCATCGCTATCAATTTTATGAAGTAATTTTCTCCTCCCATCCCCTTAAATGGAAAATAAACTCCTTAAAAACACTCAGTACTGTATTCCCAGCAGATGTGTCCCGGGTTTAGTTCCATTTGCCGTGTGAGAATGACTTCGAACATGCATCACTTGGGGAAGGAGAGTGAAGCCACGGTCCATGGCTCCTCATTTCTGACCACAGAGTTTACCCAACCTCAGTACTGCTTGTTCTTCCGCTTCCTCTTCCCCTTCTCTCTTCCTCCTCCTTCTCCGCCTCTTCCACTTTCTGCGGGTGAGTGAAAGAATGTTTAAACGTTCAGGCATTGATGCTACCAGCAGCTACCTCACAAGTCTGCGTTTGGGGAGGTTTGAAAATGACCTGGTACTTCAAGACTTAAAGCTGAACTAGGTGAGGAGAAAGACAGTGGCTCTGACAACACAGACACCTTCAGAAGCTGAGGTAAAGGCACCCTGACAAGTAAACCAGAGCTTTGTGGTAGGTGAATCTAGGGGTGAGGGCCACACGTCCGCCTAACAGCAGCAGAGAGTTCGGCCCCTGCCCAGGCTAGGACTCTGTGCCCGACACCTGAGTGAGTCCGGGGATGGCGAAGGATGGAGCACAGAGCGGAGGCCGCTTTGACCCCATCCCCAGCATCCTGAGGGGGCAGAGTGGCCTTGAGATGTTTCCTGGCCCTGTTTCTAGCACTAAGAGCAGACGACTCCATGAGGTGCTCAACAGACGACTGTGATGGGTTTGTTACCTGCACGACTAAAGCCAGGGCAAGCGCTGTGGCCCTTGTACCACTGGAGTGAGTGGTCCACAGCGAGTGTGTTTCTGTAAGTGATTAACAGGTCGGGTGTGAGCCACAGGACTGTCATGTAAAGTCACGTAACACCCTTCATCGCAGTAGCGCACACCTTCACGCGATCAGCTAACAGGGTAAGTGGAAGGGGCATTGCTCCGATGCAGACAGCGGCCGGTGCGTTACTGTGAACCGAGTGTTCGCGGTTTCCATGTGGAGAGCCCTCCTGAGCTTCCTCCCTCCACATCTTGACCTGCCCTTCTTTGCCCCAGGTTGGTGAGTGTTTCTGCTGGCAGCAGCTTGGTCCTTGGATCAGCAGTCACACAGTGGACCTGCACTGGGATCTGTTTGTCGAGCCGCTTAACACCCACGGGCTAAGGCTGACGCAGAGGCAGGGTTCTTCTGACCCTCAGGCTGCCGGCTGAGCCGTGGGCCCCCTCTGCTCCCCATGCAGGCCCGGCTGCGTCCACAGTGGGCTGCTTGGTAGGGACCCGGGCTGCAGGCCCCTCTGCTCCTGTCGGTAGTGCTGCTTCCCACTCTGCCACCCACCCACACAGCGCCAGGAGCCACTGAGGCCCCAAACCTCTGCAGTGTCCACTTTTCTCCTTTCGTTGAATTATTACGAAGTTTCCAGTGCACTGCGCAGCTGGACTCAATTTTAAAAAGGTAGTGTTAGCTTCGGAGTAGTGGTTTTTATCCATCCATCCTATGGGGCTTGGTGCAGTGTGTGAGAAATGAGTGATTTTGGTAACTTAGAGGCACTCTTAAGCCAGCCTAAGTTTGGGACGGTTGTCAACCAGTAGTAGCTGCAGTTGTCAGTCGCCTAGAAAGATCTGAGTGAGTTTATGACCCTGCACACTAAGCTGCACGGTGCAGTACTTTCCACGAGGCGAGTCTGCCGTTTTCCTGGAGCGAGCTGCCCCTTTACTCCCTTAGATTTCAGCATCGCTGAGCTGTTGCTTCCAGGGGCTCTGGGCCGCGTGCTGCGGGGCCATCAGGACCCCGCAGCTGGGGAGCGCGTGTCGGGCAGCGGTGTCAGGGCCTCGGCCCCCAGAGCCCCGAGAGGCCGGGCTGACGCGGGGGGGTGGGGGGGTGGCCCGCGAGCACCAAGGCCGGGGTGGTCTCTGCCTCCTCCGTCTCCCCCTTCCCCTTAAGGACCCCGATGCGTGGGATTCTACTCTCACTGCCAGGGCAGTGCAGGCGGCTTCTCTGCTCTTGACTGCAGTTTGATTTCCGGCCGCATGGCAGGAGGACCATGTGAGCTCTGGGTGGGAGGAGGTTCCTGTCTCCAACCTGAGCCCGGAGGAGGAGGGTGCTGTGCTGCCCCCGCCCGGCCCAGGTCCCCGCGTCCTTGGGGCCCGCGCTCTGCCTCCGTCTCCCCTCGGCCGGGCCTGCGGACGCTGGGGCGCAGGCGCGGTCGCCGGCTGAGATCCGAGCGCAGGCTGAGGCCTGGCCGTTGTCGCCCGGGCCCCGTGCCCCCGCCCGTCTCGCTCCTGTCCTGCCAGGCGGCTTCGGCACAGAGACGACACGGTGCGCTGGCATCTTCCCTGGGCCCTGGCAGCAGGTGGGGTGTGGGCGCCTCTTCGGTCCGCACCCGGCAGGGGCGGCGATGCCACTGCGGCCGCTGTGCTGGGAGCAGCCAGATCGAGGTCGAGGTCCAGGGCAGGGCAGAGCAGGGCGGGGTCCTCCTCGAGGCCCCTTCCCGCGGGGCAGGGCGGGTCACACGGTGTGGCCGGGCACTCGGGGCAGCGCAGGACTGTGCAGCTGCGTGGCCTGGACACGGTCGTGTGAGCGCCTCCCGGGGCCGGGGAGGACGGGCTGCACGGGTCTGAGTCCTGGCCAGGACCAGCCCCCCCCCCGCCAGGTGGCAGCGCTGCCGCCACGCTGGCCGCAGCCTGTCTGCAGCCAGTCTGCACGCTGCTCTCTGCTCCTGGAGGTGAGCACTGAGCTGCGAGCACTGCCCTCAGCCACCACAGGCGGAGCATGCGGTCGGACGCGGCGTCCTGCTCCTGAGCAAGGCCCAGAAGCCCATGCTGTGCAGAAAAGGCCTGTGCAGAAAAGGCCGGTGCAGAGGGCCTCGGTGCACCTGCTCACTCACTCACAGTGAGGTTTTCTGAGCCGTCTGTTGTGTGATCCTGTGGGCTTGCAGTGGGCTTTAACTCGTTCAATGTGTAAGACAGAGATTTCCCTCCAGTTAGCTGGGAAATTGTTAATGGACTGGCACACCTGAGATAGGATTTTCAGTTTCCTTTAAAACTCCCATACCTGTTTGAATTTTTATTTATGATGAGGATGTTTCACTTTTATATATAAAGAGCTAATGAATTTGATATGAATGCTAATTCGATTAAGGGTAAACTGGGTGTTTTGGCACATGCCTGTAATCCCAGCACTCAGGAGGCTGAGGCAGGAGGATTGCTGCAAGTTTGAGGGTACTCTGGGCAACTTAATGAGTTCAAGACCAGCCTGGACTACTTGGGGAGAACTTGTCTCAAAAAAACCAACCAAACAAACAAACTTAAGGGTAAAGAGTTGAAGAGTTTTGGGAGAGCTGCTGTAGAGGAGAGAGCCCCGGACTGTGAGCCCCAAACTCCCACCCAGTGCAGAAGCTGCCTCAGGAGCGCTGAGCAGGGCGGGCTCCGTGTGCCTGGAGCCCAGAAGGTGCCAGGAAAGGCCTGGGCTGAAGGGCTTGGCAAGCCGAGAGGGCCGAGGCCGGGTGCAGGCCCTGGGATCCCTCCTGCTGCAGGGCGGTGGGGACCTCAGGCTGGTAGAGGGGCTCGGAGGCCAGGGCCCGGTGGGAGGCGCTTGCTGCTCAGGCAGGGTCTTCGCCCCTTCCTTACAGTGGATGGTGAGGAGCGCCTGACAAGAGGCGGGTCCGACTCGGGGCTGGGCCGAAGCCTGAGTCTGTGAGCTGGAGCCCAAGCCCCAAAAGGAGCGCGGGGTGAAGCACCTTTCTTGATCCCTGCCCTCGAAACCGGAAGGGTGTTTCACAGCGGTGGCACAGAGACATTTTGTGAACTTACGCGGGTTGTGAACTCATGTTTTGATGATCTTGTCCGTTATATTTCCTTACATGAATATACTGCAATTATGAAAGTCATAGGATTCAGAAACATAACATTTTTAACATTTCGAAACTCTCCATCCCTTCCCAAATCACCTCTTTAAGTGACTTCACACACACACACGTGTGTGCACACGTGGCTTCACTGAATTGCACTGTGCCGGTCACACACCTGTCGTGTCAGCTTGTTGCTGGCTCCCCCGGCTTTGGGTCCTCACCACAGCCGCCTGTGCTGGGCAGAGGCAGAGGGTCCACCGTCTGAGTGCATCGTGTTTTCTTTCTGCTTGAATTTGGTAGCAAATGACTCAGCTTTCTTCTAGCACGATTTGTGTGGAGAAGGTCCTGGGGGACAGGATGGGGGATGAGTCATCCCAGAAACCCCACATGCTGCCAGCTGGTGCTGGAGCGGGGAAGACGCGAGGGAAGGGAGCAGAGATCACCAAGGCTCTTGTCGAATTAATTCCCAACGCTTACTGCTCTGACTTTTAGACTGAAAGCTTATTGGTGCAGGCCACATCCGAGAGCGAATCAGGCCTTGTGAGGTCAGATAAGCATTGATTTAGTAGGAAGCACATGCCCTCTTTTTTAATATAAGTTCTTTGTTCTCCTTCCTCCTGTGTTTGGGCCACACTTGGAGCTGCCAGCCTTTCTGAGGGTCTCCTGCTGCCCAGGGCTGGCAGAACTGCTGCATGAGGGGTGGTGACTTAGGAGAGGATGGGGAGACATAGGACCCCAAGGCTGTGAGCAGAGACTTCTCTGGCCAGCAGAATACAATCAGCTAGCCAGAGAATTGGTGAAAATTTTATTTGCAAGACCAGTACACTTCTTTGACTGAAGTTTTCTCTTTTTCCCTTTAACACTGCTCTTAGGATGCAGAATAGAAAACTGTGACTCCTGCTTCAGCAAAGACTTTTGTACCAAGTGCAAAGCCGGCTTCTATGTGCACAGAGGCCGTTGCTTTGGTGAATGTCCAGACGGCTTTGCACCCTTGGATGAGACCCTGGAATGTGTGGGTGCGTAGCTCCCCTCCCTCTCACACTGCGGCCTCAGACCAGTTTCTTGCAACATGCATGCTGGACACACTCAGCCTGAAGACAAATGTTTTCTCTTGTTGATTACTGAAGATTACTTTGTTGCTTTTTTAGTTCCTTAGGCATCAAGATGATGGGTCGTCTCATACAATGTCTTGGTTCAGAGTTTGTTAGTTGTACATTTGGTAAATTAACCCACTTAAGTACTGATAACGTTTATCATCTAATATGAGATGTACTTAAAATAAGGTGAATGGTTAAATTAAAAAATTATTACACTGAGTGACATACAGCCATGAATTCCCCTCAAAACGCTTACCTCACTGTGCTTGCCACTTTCTGAAGCTGCTATGGGAGTCTCCTTTCCCAGTGTCTTCAGTTGCACTTTTGTGGCTGCTTCGAGGTTCTGAATCCACTCAACCCGTTTCCCTTTCTTGGTCATTTTGACTTTGGGGAAGAAGCAGAGGTTGCACAGTGCCAGATCCAGTGAATGAGGCAGATGAGGACGCAGCACCGTGTTTTTATAATGTGGAAATTCCCATAAATGACTGCTCAGTGCAGAGTGATCAAAGATACAGTCAGTGTTTAAATGAAACATTTATTACGGTGAAAGACACACTGCCGTTAGTCCCCCTCAAAATGCTACCTCTAAACTTCAAGCGCATTTATCCCATCATTCTCGGCAGTGTGTCTTTTACTCTGATATATGCAGTATTATTATTTTCCTCATTTGTTGTTTCATTGTTAGCACACATTTGAAAGCAGTACGTACTAAGTGCACTCCTCGTGAGGAGTTGGAGCGTGCACAGAATGCATATTCATCCTTTTTTCATTCCCCCCATCTCTCAGTCCCCTTCCCATTTGCAAAAGATCTATCTCTCTGTTTCCTATTGTCTATCTTTTATTTTGTTCTTTATTTATATTTTGGGTTTTTCCTAAAGGGAAACCATTCTATGTTTAAGCTTGTGAGTCTGATTATATTTTTAATTCAAACATTCACCCTATTTTTGATCATCCCTTGTACATCTGTTTCTTATTATCATAACAAATTACTAATAATCATTACAGGAAAATAGTTTGCTTAGGAAATGAGGAGAAACACAAAAACTTGGGATTTTGTAGTGCATGCATGGAAGAACAGAGGGGACCACAAAATGCAGAACAAGCGCCCCTCTTCCCCTGCTTCCAAAATAACAGCGACCCCTCCGTGGGACTGGGAGGGCGTTTGAACCCACTTGTGGAACGGCGCCTCTGCCCTGGAGTGAAATGGGCCTCTGTGGCCAGTGTCTCGGGATGCACATTTCAGTGTCAGGACCCTCAGGAGAGGGAGTGTGGACGAGTGGGCACCAGGGCTCTCCCATCACGTGGGGCATTGGCTTTGCCGTGCAAGGCCTTGTCGTGAGTGCGGGCCAGGCGGGCTGGGACTTCACTGCTGGGACCTGGAGGGGTGGGAGACACTGTGGGAGCTGGGTGGCGCTGCAGAGTGGAGACCGACTGGCATCCGCTTTTGTGTTTTCTCATCTTTATTAGAAGGGTGTGAAGTTGGTCATTGGAGCGAATGGGGAACGTGCAGCAGAAATAACCGCACGTGTGGATTTAAATGGGGCCTGGAAACCAGAACACGGCAAATTGTTAAGAAGCCAGCGAAGGACACGATGCCCTGCCCGACCATTGCAGAGTCTCGGCGATGCAAGATGGCCACGCGGCACTGCCCAGGAGGTAGGTCCGCTCCCTCACTGGCGCTGGTGCTGGCCAGCCCCTCCCCTCCTTCCAAGGAGAGGCTGCTGAGCCACGGAGAAACCCGAGCAAACACTGGAGAGGAGGTAAAATTCTGCTTGACTTATTTAGAGACAGGCGCTTCACTTGTCAATATGAAGTGAACATTTCATTTGCTTTCATGATACCTTAAAATAGCCCAGAATCCATTACAAATGCGCCTTCTAAAATCAGAGTTCTAAAAGCATGTGTTTTTTTTCTTTTTTGCAAATGTACCCTAAAAATGAGTTCTTGTGAAATCAGGCGTCTGCAGATTCTGCTTTCTGGGGCAGCAGACTGCCAGCGTTTGGTGAGAAGAGTTTAGATTGGAAAGGTTTATGGGTCTGTAAAACCATCTGCATCATTCCTAGGTGAAGATGACCACTTCAAATAAACTCTCCCAAACACTGAGGGGGATAAACGTTGTCCTAATGTTACCACAATTAGCTATTCCTTTTTGTTTTGATAATAATTTGTAGAAAACAGCTACTGGCATGTGTGTGTTTATCCAGCCCTTTGTAGTAACCGTGCTGATTTGTAGTCGTGATTCTGTAATAACAGGATTAGGCCTTTAGAAGCCAGGAGAAGGTGTGCCTTGGAATGCCATCTGCAGTGCCGTTGCAGAGGCTCGAAAGCAGAAGCCACTCGGCTCTTCGCTGTGTTGCTGGCAGATGCCCTGTCGCCATGGATGAACTTGGAATTTTCTAGTGCATCTACAGAAAAGCAAAGCAGAAAATTGTGTTTGGAAAACTGCCTCTTAAAATAATCCAAGTCTTTCTCTGCCTTCACTCCGTTGGGGCATCCTTTTCAGTTCTCCAGCTCAGCCCCGAGAACGTATCTCTGCTTTAAGTAGGTTTCTAGCCCCATTATGCTGCCTCATAGAGAATGTCTGTGATCCATGGCAAAAGATGGGACTTGGAGGGCGTAAGACTCCAGTCGGCCTTCGAGAACGATTAGATCCAGATCCAGAAGCTACTGTTACGAAAGCAGCTTTTCCTCTTGAATTAGTTTTGCTTTTCTTTACTGAGTTTCTGAAACAAAGCGTTTTAGGGTCTTGCTTTTCACTAACAAGGATGGTTTTGTTCACTTAAACTAGGTATTTTTTCAGTCATAATATAAGAAAATATTTTCTTACAAAACTAATAAGCCACTTCTTGGATAGCTAAAAGCATTTAACCTGCAACCTTCTGCCTAAAACAACCCTGATATGTTCAGGTACTGGAAATACAGGCCCTCTTTGTTGTTCTTGTTTATGCAGTGGCCTCCCCCAGTCCTTGTTCAGCCCTTGGGTCCCCGTTGTGGTTTACATTAATAGCAAAAGTTAACCTGGAAATGCTCCTGTAACCAACATGCTCATGTGTGACCAGAGCCAGCACGTCCCCTCCTGTCCTAAACTCTTTACTTTGACTAGTCCATCTGTGTGACACTTTTGTAGATATCAGCTAGGTTGCTAACCATAATGCTTATTGCATTGTAATCTTTGTGCTGACAGCATTGTGGTGGTCTCCTGGAGTATGCCTGCCACTGTTGGCCATTTACATTGGGCCCCCAAATTGCTTGAGCACGATTTGCTAGTGATTCTCTTTGACAAGAGATCCAGCAGCAGGCTCTGGGTTGTGTTTAGGTTTTACCGAGTGTTGTGTATTAGGAAAAGCCAGCTGTTGCTCTAATCCCGGTATCTGTATTTTTATCTATAAAATGAATTTTTATAAGGCTTTCAAATTAAGTAGGTTTTAAAAGTTACATTGGAATTTTTGTTGTTATATTAAAAGGGAAATAAAATTAACTATTGATAGAAATGTAAAGTATTCTGGAATAAAATAACTTCTATTTACAAATGTCAGAAATAAAACCTCCAAAATTAATCCTGGAACTTGAGCAGCAGTGGGAGAAATTGGGATAACTTCCAGGGGTCCCCAGCTGGCCTCAGGTGGGAAGGGAAGAGTCCCCTTCTCCCCGAGGTCATGCTGATTAATGGAAGAATGAGGAGGAAAACCACTTTATCCCTTTTTACATCTTGATTTGATTTCAGTGATCTGCTTTGACAAACCATGCAAAAATGTAAGTCGTAATCAGGTTGGGAATTCAGGCATTCAGATCTTTCAACATGTGTATGGATTTTTCTTCTGTTGGAGCCGATCTTAGCCTAATTGCATTCGAATGCATCCTAACCTCCTTCACACTCCAGGCCCTGGCACATTACAATCAGCTGCTTTCCATTACCGAGTGGCTAGGCCAGAGGTCAGTGCAGGGGAGGGTCCCTAGGTGTGTAAGATGCCCAGTGTAAGGAAATGATGGCTCTATGGGTAGAAACAAAGCCGAGTAATGATCTAGCCTTTCCCCTTAATTATCATATGCTTACTTGCTTAAAAAAAAGAATATCTGGGAATTTCTAAAGTAGTGGGGTGATTGGTGTGGGAAGCGCTGTGTTCACTCCCAGATTTCTCTCAGCTCGCTCATCTTTTCCTGGGTTCTGAGGAATCCTGCATGGGTTCTTGGGCCTTTCCAGCTCGCTCCTCAGAGGCCTGGTCTGGGATCTGGTCCTGTACTCTGTCAGCTGGTTACTTCTGTGACCCCAGCTGGTCCCTTAACCTCAAGGGGGCCCTGTTTCCTCCTTTGTCAACTGAAGTTATCGGCCTGCTGACCTCTGAGGCCCAGGCAGTTGGAAAATCTGGGGATGCTGGGCAGCTGCCGCAGACGCGAGCACACGCTGCATCATCCTGGGGAGGGCGGGGAAGGGCTGGACACCGAGGGTGCTGACTTGGACCGAGGTGCCCGTGCCTCATGGTGCTGCCCCGGGCTTGTGCAAGGCCTCGGTGCTGTGCAGCCAGCCTTTACGAAGAAGTGGGTTCCCTGTGGTTTAGGCACCAATAAAGAAGTAGTATAGAGAATAAGACAGCAAAAATGGATCGCATAAAAGATCACGGGGATAAGGAAAAGGGACAGTGAGCTTGGAAAAGAGAGCAAATGACTTAGAGTTGAAGGCTGTGGTTGGTGGACCTCACCCGTGCTGCCTCCCCGAGTATACAGACCACCTGCTGGGACCAAGTCAGTCCATTCATTTAGAATCCTGAGCTTAACGGGGAGCAACCACAGGTCTGTACCGTGTGGTACTCGAGGCAGTGTCTTTACAGAAAGAGATGAACATGCCATTATATATTTGAGTGACAAATGGAAGACAGAGTCCTGGTTGCCAGGTGTCATGTTGGAGGAGAAAGTGTCCGCTGCCCCTGTGTGCAGTCTCCTGGCTTCACAGGCCTGGCCAACACTGTGACCTCAGCACGCTATGTTTTCTCATCTGTTGGGGACTCCTCGTGACTTCAGTGCCAACCACGGTGACTAATTTCATTAATTCAGCTGGTCAGATGTTGGCTGAGTACTGTTGTGTATTGCTCATTGGTCCAGACATGGGATTTCTCACATAACCCTTCGGTCTTTTCTAGAGAGAATAATTGCAATGACGAAATAAATGGATGAGGGAATGTAATTTCATGTGGAGACAGTGCTGTGCGGGAAATAAGACAGGGCAGGGAACTCGTGTGTGGCTGGTGTAGTTTTATGTAGGGAGCTCAGGAACATCGTGGAGGTTACATCTGATCAGACATCTGAATGAAGATGACCCTTTGCAGAGGGAAGAGGACAAGATTGTTCCAGCTATTGACATGGTGGCTGTTTTTGTGACTGCCCTCGAGGCTCCCACTGTGTTTTGAGGAGAAGGAAGAAGCTGAGCCCAGGGAGCAAGGATCTGACTGCTCCATGGCCACCATGGGTGTCACCAGTGATAGATCCAGGCTGGGGCCATGGTCTTGCTGCCTAGGAAGCCCAGGCTCTCCTGTGCCTTCCCCTGGTTCCGAAGACAAGATCGAAGGCACAACCATTGTTATTCTCCGGCGAAGTACCCAACTTCAGCTGTTTTCCCTGTACCCAAAGACAGCACGCACCTTTCCCCATGAACTCTGCCATCCCCAGGACTCCGACGCAGTCCTGCTTGGGGAAACTGGTGGGATGAACTGGAAGAAGCTTGTTTCTTGAATGCTCCTGGCGTTGCTCTCAGCCAGCTGCCGCTCTGAGGCCCTCTCCCGTGGAGCTGCGGGGTCCCTGCTCTTCCAGACTGGGGGAAACATGACTTCAGGACTGTTCTTTACATCCTTGTCCTCGAGTCGGCACCCGGGACGCTCAGCCCCGACACAGTGGCCTTGGGGGACGCGGTCCGCACCCTGCACGTCGCCTGGCTCTGTGCCCAGTAAGGCTGCTCTGACCCGTTTTCAGCCAGCAGACCCCGTGCAGCTCTGAGCAAGCCGGCTGCCTCTGCCTTTCCCTGTGTGTCTGCTGCCCCTCCAGCGACTCGGCTGTTGGGGATAACGTGGTGCAATTGTCGGAGTGCAGGTCACACTTTCTTAGCATTGTGCAAACATTTCAAGGTAAAATCTACCCTGTGCTATTTCAATTGGAAAACAAGTCATTCTTCTCGTGAAACATAACCTGATCCTTATCTACTGTTTCTTTTTCCTCCAGAAGTGGTTCTTAACTTGGTAGGAAACAAAAGAAAACGCTATTTAGCAACTTAGAACCTTAATCTCTGCCAACATCTACCTTCTCAATGGCAGCAGTAATAGGATCTCCCGAAGCGGTGTTTTCTGTGTACAAACTGACAGCACATGTGAACCAGGGAGTAGATAATAGAACTAGAGATGGCTGTAGATTGTGTTGGATTAAACTGAGAGCAGGAAATAGGCACATTTTCAGTAGGATAAGGTCAAGAAAATATGGTTTGGACATATGTTCTTTATTTCTCCACATTTTGTTTACATTTGAGCTGCAGTTTATGTGGTCTGCTTTATACAAGACAGCCTCGGGAGTCATTTGGAAGAGAGCGGATAAGAGCAAACCTCCTTCCTTTTGAGCCATTTGGACTCTGTCAGAACATCAGTACTGCAGTCTTGATGTGGAGGAGCAGCTAAAGT